TCAGCAGGGTTTTACTCCATACTATTCATTATAGAATATAGTCTTTTATTTTTAAAACTCATTTGTACATTTTACATAATAAAAGGGAACTAAAACATTGTATTAAAGTGCATTATTAGTCATCTGAACATCAGTTGTGATATATATTTGGTTAAATTTTTAATAACATATCTATATCATAAAATAAAGCAAATAAAGCATTTTGATAATGTCCTTAGCAACTACTAATCTTAGCATAAAAGGAAAGAAATTTAAAGCAATCCAATACATGAAGTGGAATTTTAATGCTAAATTTAAATTGATACTCCTAATAAAAACTCATTATTTTCCTTGTTAATTTACCCTACTTCTCTCCAATAAATAACTAAGAAATAATTATAAATATCTAAAAACAAAATTCTCAGGCTTATTTTGAATTATTTTTTCTCTACATATGCAACGTGTTCTAACATACTCAATAAAAGAAAAAATTCTCCATGCAGTGTTGTTTAAATGCAAGGAGCCCCTGTGATATAAATGAGGGCATCTCACAATGATGAAGAAGTTAAATTGAACTGCCGTAAATGTCTCCCAAAAGGACAATTTGAAAATTTAAAAAATGACTGCATGTGTTTAAACATTATCAATGTAACTACAAGTCTTTCAGTAATTTATAGGTTAATAAACAATGCAAATGTTTGTAAAACAAAATGTGCAACATTAGTCAGCCTTTGAATTGCAAAGGAATCAACTTTTTGCTCTAAAATAAATCAAGAGAAAGAACTAAGAGTGATTTTGATTTCCTTGTCTAAAATACATCTTGGAAAAATCAAAACACAGATGAAGTTCAACATTTCATATAGCATTTTCATTAAGTAGTTGCAGAAGAATGATAGCATTAAAAAGTCACTATTTTTAAATGTATAATGAAATTTTGAATCTGAGATACTTATAATCAAATGGAAGTTCATCTCTTAGGAAAAATATTAACAACCATTTTATATTAGAAATTACGACAACACCATTGGACTCTTTGATTAATTATAAAAGGTTAATGACCATATGGACATCCTGCTGTACCATAGTTGAGAGTTCTTTATTGCAAAATTGTACTATATTGTAGTCAAAGCTCCATATTTCTAATTTTCAAGACAGACGTAGAGGAATAAACAAATGCCTTCTTTCTAGGATGTGCAATAATCCATGGAAAAATTCTGTGGCACAAAACAAAAATCAAAGATGAGTATTATCAATAAAAATAAGTGAATCAGTATCAAAGAGTAACACAAAACCCTATCAGTATTGATTATAAAGTTTTATTGTAAAGACTGCTTTAAGACAATCATATATACACTATATAGGTAGAGATATATTGATATGTTTTTGTAGGTAATGATAAGAAGTTGATTGCTACCTTTACTTATTTTTTTTAAATTTTTGGTTTTAGCATTATACCTGGTGCTGTTCAGGATTTAATCCTGGCTCTGAGTTCAGGCACTACTGATGGTGTTCAGAAAACCACACACAATGCCAAGGATCAAACTTGGGCTGTTGTATGCAAGGCATGGCACCGTAACCTCTGGAATATCTTCCTGGCAGTAGGAAAGTTTTCCTTCCTTCCTTCCTTCCTTCCTTCCTTCCTTCCTTCCTTCCTTCCTTCCTTCCTTCCTTCCCTCCTTCCTTTCTTCCTCCCTCCCTCCCTCCCTCCCTCTCTCTCTCTCTCTCTCTTTCTTTCTTTCTTTCTTTCTTTCTTTCTTTCTTTCTTTCTTTCTTTCTGTCTCTCTTTCTTTCTCTGTTCCTGTCTCTCTGTTCTTGTCTTTCTTTCTTTCTTTCTTTCTTTCTCTCTCTATTTTCCTTCCTTTCTTCCTCTCTCTTTCCTTCCTTCCTTCCTTCCTTCCTTCCTTCCTTCCTTCCTTCCTTCCTTCCTCCCTCCCTCCCTCCCTCCCTCCTTTCTTTCTTTCTTTCTTTCTTTCTTTCTTTCTTTCTCTCTTTCTTTCTGTCTTTCTTCCTTTCTCTGTTCCTGTCTCTCTGTTCTTGTCTTTCTTTCTTTCTTTCTTTCTCTATCTTCCTTCCTTTCTTCCTCTCTCATTCCTTCCTTCCTTCCTTCCTTCCTCCCTCCCTCCCTCCCTCCCTCCTTTCTTTCTTTCTTTCTTTCTCTATCTTCCTTCCTTTCTTCCTCTCTTTCCTTCCTTCCTTCCTTCCTTCCTTCCTTCCTTCCTCCCTCCCTCCCTCCCTCCCTCCCTCCCTCCTTTCTTTCTTTCTTTCTTTCTTTCTTTCTTTCTTTCTTTCTTTCTTTCTGTCTCTCTTTCTTTCTGTCTTTCTTCCTTTCTCTGTTCCTGTCTCTCTGTTCTTGTCTTTCTTTCTTTCTTTCTTTCTTTCTTTCTTTCTTTCTTTCTCTATCTTCCTTCCTTTCTTCCTCTCTCTTTCCTTCCTTCCTTCCTTCCTTCCTTCCTCCCTCCCTCCCTCCCTCCCTCTTTCTTTCTTTCTTTCTTTCTTTCTTTCTTTCTTTCTTTCTCCTTTTCTTTAAGGAATGACTGACATTACAAAACAAAAACCAAATCAAAAACGGTGACTATCATCTTGAAATATACTTAAAGGATTTTACTGGTACACTGGCATATTTAAAATTTTCTTAGGTTACCCTAAACAAACCAAAAACACATGAATCAAAATCATGCAAGATGTAGAAAAAACCATATTGACAAAGTAGATATAATTTATATATTAAGTTGTAATCATTCTGTATTTTCATGTCAGCATTCCTGCCCTACCACCTTAAAGAAGGATTTCACTCTAAAATATATTATCCTTTTACTGTCCGTACAATGACCCACCAATCAAACTCCTATGCAATTAAAAAAAAGGTCCTCCGTCATATTTTCTTTGTGTCATTGATTTTCGTTTTTCCAATGCATAATTCTTAATTCTTTTCAGTATACAAGCATTCTGAGGGTATTTTCTATTTTAAGAAGCCCTTCTTTTGACCCAAATATCTCACAATTTCTCTTTTCTTTGTAGAAAATCTTTTGAAAATAGCTGTTATTGTTGACCTATTGGTTCTTATTTTACTTTGAAAACAGTCCTGAGTTTAGAACTATCACTTTACAGATATTACCTCACCAAAGATCACCTACAAACTTCATGGTCACAAATTTGACAGAAGATCAATGTTGCAGCCATTATTTCTCTCACATTATAGAAACACCCTTGTCAGTTATTTTTCTTAAACTTGTAAAGGAATTTATTTCTTTACAAGTTTCTTCACTCTTTCTGTCGTGTTCAGTTAAATGTTTACAATACTAATGCTTTCAATTTCATCATATATCTTTGCTAATTAAAAACCTTCTAAAAGCAATTTTTATTTCCTCTTTACCTAAGTAACATTTTTGTTCTGGAGCATCCCTATGATTCAAGCAGATTTATCAGATGAAATCGTCCAGGCCTGAAGACAGTGAACAAACTCAATGAAATGAATACCTCATCAAGAATATATTACCCACCCAGAGTCTCATTCAGATTTGAAGGAACAATACACAACTTCACAGATAAAGAACAACTCAGGAACTGCATAGAAACAATATCATTGTGAAAAAGGAAAAAATTAATGGGCTACTTTAAGATAAACCTCACGAGTATACCAAACTCCTACAAAAAGATGGCACAAATGCCCACCACATTAATCTCTTTCAGTGTCAATGGACTAAATGCACCAATCAAGGAGCACAGAGTTCCAGAGAGCAGTAGTATGGATTAGAAAATTGAACCCAACATTTGGCTGCCTCTAAGAAAGACATCTGAATAGTCATAGCAAACACAGGCTTAAAACCAAATACTGGAAAGCAATTCTCCAAGCAAACAACCCCCTAAAAAAGCCAGGACTGCTATTCTAGTATTAGACCAATTAGAATTCAGGCTGAAGAAGGTTATAAGAGACAATGAATGTCATTTCTTAATTACCAAGGGAACAGTGCATGAGGAAGAACACACACTCACATACATACACCTAATGATAGACCAGGAAAATACTTGAAGCAACTGCTAGTAGATTTGAAGAAAGACATTGATAGCAACACAATAGTAGTTGGAGACTTCAAAACTGCTTTGTCAACTTTCGTAGATCGTCTAGGCTACAGCTCAGCAAGGAAATGCTTTATTTGAGAAAATAAATAGAAGAGGGAGTTTGTAGATATATACAGGACTTTTCTTCCCCCCAAAACTGAATAACCATTTTTCTCCAATGCATATGGGACATACTTTAAGATGCTGGACCACAAAACATATCTACATAAAACTAAGAGGATAGAGATTGTATCAACTATCATCTCAGACCATTATGCACTGAAAATAGAAGTGAATCACTCAGAGAAATGGAGAACAAAATAAAACACATGGAAAACAAAGAGATTCTCCTGTCCCCGCACCTGACTATCCTCGCCAGGGGCCCCTTGGAGGGGAGTGGGTTGAGTTTCCCTCCCCGCCTCAACCAGGGCTCCGGCAGCCGAAGAACTCAAGAACCAGCCACCACCATGCTGAGACCACTCTCCGCACACATGAAGGTACCAGCAGAGGAACAAAGGCATGCGGGTCCCGGGACTGAGATCTCCAAGCCTACTCAGATCGGAGCTGAGCATCCTCCACCCAGATCCTCCAAATTCCAGTAGGCAGGGGTCACACCCACCAACTGGCACCCTGGCGCCATGTAATCCCATCAACGGCCAAGACTCAGAGACTATAAAACCCAGGTCCCGGAAGCGCGCGGCCCCGTTCGTGGCCGCTCAACATCTTATCTCATTCCTACTTTGGACAAACTGGCAGGCTACCGAATGCAACCTGCCCACATGGCAGAGTCTGGCAAACTCCCCGTGGCGTACCCAATATGCCAAATACCAGTAACAATGATGGGTCTCATTCTCCTAACTCTGAAAGAGCCTTGAATACGGCACTTTTTTTTTAGAAAATCCCATGGCTAGGATGAAGGAGACGTTACTGGGGCCTGCTCGAGGCAATCGATGAATAATAGGATGGTTGTGATCGTGATCGTGATCGGAAAACAAAAGAGCTCAGTGCTGAACAATCAGTAGGTTTGAGAGGAACTCAAAGAGGAAATAAAAAAGATTTCAGGAAACAAATGAGAATGAGAATATGAGCTACCAGAACTTGTGGAACACAGCAAAAGCAGTGTTATGAAGAAAGTTTATAGCTTTGAAAGCATTAAGATGGAAGAGAGGACCCACATCAATAACTTAAAGACATAGCTTAAGATCTTATAAAATGATCAACAAAAGAAGACCAAACCAGGCAGGAGTAAGGAAAAAAATAAAACTTAAAGCAGAAATTATTAGCTGGAATCCCAAACAACAACAAAAAAAAGCAGTCCAAAAGATAAACAAAACATGTGGTTGTCCAGTTATGCCAGCACCATTTGATAAAGAGGCTTTCCTTGATCCTCTTCACATTTCTTGCTCCCTTATCAAGGATTAAATGTTCATACATTTGGGGTTGTGTGTACAGATATTCCACCCTGTTCCATTGGTCTGCCACCTTGCTTCTGTTCCAGTACCATGCTGTTTTAATTATTACCGCTTTGTAGTAGAGTTTGAGGTTGGGGAGGGTGAAGCCTCCCCACATATTTTTCCCAAGAATTGCTTTAGCTATTCGTGGGCATTCGTTGTTCCATATGAATTTCAGGAGTGCTTGATCTATTCCTTTGAAGAATTTCATGGGTATCCTTATAGGGATCGCGTTGAAACTGTATAATGCTTTTGGGAGTATTGCCACTTTGACCATGTTAATTCTTCCTATCCATGAGCAGGAGATATGTTTCCATATCCTCGTGTCCTCTTTTATTTCATGGAGTAGTGTTTTGTAGTTTTCATTGTAGAGGTCATTTACCTCCTTAGTTAGGCTGATTCCGAGGTATTTAATTTTCCGAGTCACAATTGTTAATGGGATTTTTTTCATGTCACTTTACACTCTCTCATTATTTGTGTATAGAAAGGTCATGGAATTTTGGGCATCTATTTTATAGCCTGAAATTTTACTGTGCAAGTCTATTGTTTCTAGGAGTTTCTTGCAATTTAGGATTCTCAATATATAGTATCATATCATCTGCACATAGTGAGAGCTTGATTTGTTTTTTTTTTCTATCTGGATGCCTTTAATGTCTTTTTCTTGCCTAATCACAATTGTAAGTACCTCCAGTACTATGTTAAATAGAAGTGGTAATAGTGGGCATCCTTGTCTTGTCCCTGATCTTAGAGTAAACACCCTTAGTTTTTCCCCATTAAGGATAATGCTTGCCATGTGTTTGTCACCATGCACAAAAGTCAGATCAAAATAGATCTCAACATCAGGCCAAAATTCATAAGGTACATTGAAGACAAGATTGGCAAAAACCTCCACGATATTGAGGCTAACGGTGTCTCCAAAGACAACACTCCACTGACCAACCAAGTGGAAACAGAGTTAAACAAATGGGACTATGTTAAATTAAAAAGCTTCTGCACCTCAAAAGATACAGTGACCAGAATACAGAGACAATCTACAGAATGGGAATGGATATTTACCCAATATCCATCTGATAAGGGGTTGATATCAAGGATATACAAAGCACTGGTTGAACTCTACAAGAAGAAAACATCTAACTCCATCAAAAAAACGGGGTGATGAAATGAACAGAAACTTTTCCAAAGAAGAAATCTGAATGGCTAAAAGGCACATGAGAAAATGCTCTACATCACTAATAATCAGGGAGGTGCAGATCAAAACAACAATGAGATATCATCTCACACCACAGAGACTGGTCCACATCCAAAAGAACAAAAGCAGGAGGTGTTGGCGTGCACATGGCAAGAAAGGGACCCTCCTTCACTGCTGTTGGGAATGACAACTGGTTCAGCCCTTTTGGAAAACAGTATGGACAATTTCCAAAAATTAGAAATTGAGCTCCCATTTGATCCAATAATACCACTCCTGGGAATATATCCTAGAGAGGCAAAAAAAAGTACAGTTGAAATGACATTTGCACTTCTATGTTCATTGCTGCACTATTCACAATAGCCAAAATCTGGAAAAAACCTGAGTACCTGAGAACAGATGACTGGTTGAAGAAACTGGTATATCTACACACTGGAGTACTATGCAGTTGTTAGAAAAGATGAAGTCATGAACTTTACATACAAGTGGTACTACATGGAAAGTATTAGGCTAAGTGAAACGAGTCAGAAAGAGAGGACAGATATAGAAAGATTGCATTCATCTGGGAAACATAAAGTAACAAAATAGGAGACTAACATCCAAGAATAGCCAAGATAAGTACCAGGAGGTTCACTCCATGGCTTGGAGGCCAGCCGCACATGCTAGGGGTAAGGGCATCTCAGACAGAGAAGGGAACACCAAGAAAAGGGTGTTTGGAGGATCCTCCCAGGATGAGAGATCCATGCTGAAATTAGACTATAGACTGAAGATAATTGCCACTTAATGCCTCTTTTCCAAACCACAGCACCCAAAAGGAGAGAGAAAACAAAAGGGAATGCCCTGCCACAGGGGTGGAGCATGATGGAGCTGATGGGGGGTGGGAGGGATACTGGGAGCATTGGAGGTAGAGAATGGGCACTTGTGGAGGGATGAGTACTCAATAGATAACTGAAACCCAAGCACAAAAGTTTGTATGTCTACAACTGTACCTCATGGTGTTTAACTAATAATTTTTTTTTAAATTCAACAAAACAAAGAGCTGGTCCTTTGAGAAAATAAACAAGACTGATATATGATTAGCAAGACTGAAACTAGTGGAACAAGGAAAACCTCTTCAAAAGTGGTGCTTGGAAAACTGGGCAGTTACTTGGGGAAAAAAAATGAACTAAGACCTCTTTCTAAAGCCAGGCATAAATTTCAGATCAAAAGTGATATCAGACATGATTTCTTAATATACATGGAGGAAAATGTGGGCATAAGCCTTCACAACATTGAAGCTAAAAGCATCTTCAAAGATTAAACACCACTGACCAAGCAAGTATAAGCAAAGGTAAACAAATGGGACTACATGAAAGTAAAATTCTTCTATACCTCAAGGAAACAGTGACAAAGATATAGAGCCCACAGATTAGGAAAAAATATTGATCAAATACTCATTGGATAAGGGTTTAATATCTAAGATATATAAAGCACTAGTAGAACTTTACAAGGTAAAAAACATTCAACCCCATCAAAAAATAGGGAGAAGAAATGAATAGAAAATTTCTTAAAGAAGAAAAATAAATGGCCAAAATCACTTAATCACTTAACTTCCCGTTAGTCATCGATTTGCTCGAGCGGGCCCCAGCAACGTCTCCATTTGTCCCTGTCGCGTGCTAGTGTAGCCCAATGGCATCTCTTCGCTCCGGGAACATGGAGGGCCTCAAACCGATCGTTCATGATCTTCAGGAAGAAGTCTGACCATCTGGTAGGTGGGCGGCCACGCGGTCTCTTGACATCCCGTGGAATCCAATCAGTAACAGCTCTAGTCCAACGGTCGTCTTTAAATCTCATTACGTGAGCAGCCCATCTGATTTTCGACACCTTGGCAAATGAGACAGCGTCCCTGATCCTTGATCGTTGACGGATGTCAGAACTCCGGATTCGTTCTCTCATTTCAGTGAAACGTGATATTCCAAGCATAGCTCTTTCTATTCTTCTTTGGGAGACCTGAATGGCGTTCTCATCTTGTTTGCGTAGGGCCCAGGTCTCTGAGGCATATGTTAATGCAGGAAGAACAGTGGAATCAAAGAGATGTGCCCGGAGCCGGAGGTTCTTCGTCCTCTTAGCTATTTCTTCGACGTTCTTGAAGGCATTCCAAGCCGCTCTCTTCCTCCTGCGCAGCTCGGGTGCCAGGTCATTTGTCATGTTGACCTCTCGACCTAGGTACACATAGCTGTTGCATTCGGAGATGGTCGTTCCATTGAGAGCGAATGGGGCGTCAGGAACAAGGCTGTTTCTCATAAACATTGTCTTCGTAAGATTCAGCTGTAGTCCTACCTTTCCACACTCACGGTCAAAGTCGGCCAGCATTTGTGCCGCTTGGCTGATGTTTGGTGTTATTAAAACAATGTCATCAGCAAAGCGGAGGTGGTGTAGTTGCCGACCATCTATCTTCACTCCCATTCCTTCCCATTCCAGTCGTCGCATGATGTTCTCGAGGGTGGCACTGAAGAGTTTTGGTGAAATGGTATCACCCTGCCGCACCCCTCTCTTGACATCAACGATCACTTCTTTGTAGAATGGTGAGATCCTGTTAGTGAATCCGCAATACAGCTCATGGAGGATCCTGATGTGTTGGGCTTGAATGCCCTGATTGGCTAGGGCTTCAATGACCGCTTCCATCTCAACAGAATCAAAGGCCTTCTTTAAATTAATGAACGTTAAGCAGAGCGGCATCTTGAACTCCCGAGAAACCTCAATGAGTTTGGTTATCGTGTGGATATGGTCGATGGTGCTGAATCCTTTGCGGAACCCTGCTTGCTCACATGGTTGTCCTTCATCTAGTGTTCTGCCAATCCTATTCAGGATGACTCGAGTGAACAACTTGTAGATGACAGACAATAGGCAGATCGGGCGATAGTTGCCAATGTCATGGATGTCTCCCTTCTTGAACAGTAGTACGGTCCTGCTGGTTTTCCATTGAGATGGAACCTTGCATTCAGACAGGTAGCGAGTGAAGAGCCGAGCCAGTGTATTGATGAGTACTGACGGCAGGTTCTTCAGGTGTTCAGGTCTGACCTTGTCTGGGCCGGGTGCTGTTTGCTTCTTTACTGACGAAATGGCGTGTCGGATTTCGGAAGGGAGAACGTTGGGAACGACATACCCATCCTGTGGAATTTGGTATGTCAGCAAGTGGACATGGCTATCGAAGAGATTTGAGTAGAAGTCATGGATAATCTTCTCCATTGCCGTTCTGGAGGATGTGATGGATCCATCAGGACGTCGGAGGGCAGTCATCTTGGTCTTATAGTTGGCGAAGGACAGGCGGGCATTACGAATACTTTTCCCGGCTTCTGCTGCATCTACCAGTACTTCTGCTCTTCTCTCTTTGAGGTCTTC